CCCCCTCCCTTCTTGGGGACATCCTTTGTAACTCATTAACAGGCCTAAGGGTATATACAAGACAAACCTGCAGGTCCTCAGTTTACACAACAAATCTATGTCAGGTGGCTTATCTCTGATAACAGCTCCTTATGTTGAAACATTCCAAGTCATTAGACAAAGCTTCATGTCTTTAACCAATTACAAGCCAAAGAATCTTTAAACCCACCTGTAACCTGTAAGCCCCCCTCTTCGAGATGGGCCACCTTTTGGGGCCAAACCAATATATGCCTCCCACGTATTGATTTATGACTTTACCTGTAATCCCTGTCTCCCTGAAATGTATAAAACCAAACTGTAACCCAGCCACAGCGAGTCCACTTGCTCATAGCTTCTTGGGAGTGGCCCCGGGTCATAATCCTCAAATTTGGCTCAGAGTAAATCTCTTTAAAATTATTTTACAGAGTTTGGCTTTTTTTCCCCGTTGACATGGGTATTATTATGATCATTACCATCTACATTCAGAAATGAGGTAACTGAAGCACAGAGAAGTTCAGTGACTTGTCTAAGGCAACACAGCTGGTAATGAGAGGAGCTGGGAGTTGAACCCTGGTAGTTTGGTGTCACGAACTTCCCAGTGATGTTCTATTTTTGCTTATCTTAATCGTTAATGCATATACAGGTTTAGAAAAACTTTTTATTATGAAAAATTTCAAACATAAAAAAGTAGAAAAAATAAGGAATTTCATGTCTTCATTACCCAGCTTCAATAATTATCACTACATGGCTTATTTTATTTTTATAATTTCCCCATGTCCCCAGCCCAGATTATTTGAAGCAAATCCAGTCATTGTATCATTTCATCCACAATTTTTTTTTTTTTTTTTTGAGACAGAGTCTCACTTTGTTGCCCAGGCTAGAGTGAGTGCCGTGGCGTCAGCCTGGCTCACAGCAACCTCAATCTCCGGGGCTCAGCGATCCTACTGCCTCAGCCTCCCGAGTAGCTGGGACTACAGGCATGCGCCACCATGCCCGGCTAATTTTTTGTATATATATTTTTAGTTGGTCAATTAATTTATTTCTATTTTTGGTAGAGACGGGGTCTCGCTCAGGCTGGTTTCGAACTCCTGACCTTGAGCAATCCGCCCGCCTCGGCCTCCCAAAGTGCTAGGATTACAGGCGTGAGCCACCTTGCCCGGCCTTTTTTTTTTTGAGACAGAGTCTCACTCTGTTCCCTAGGCTAGAGTGCCCTGGCATCAGTCTAGCTCATAGCAACCTCAAACTCCTGGGCTCAAGTGATCCTCCTGCTTCAGCCTCTCAAGTAATTGGGACTACAGGTGTGTACCACCACACCCGGCTAATTTTTCTATTTTTAGTAGAGATGGGGTCTCTCTCTTGCTCAGGTTGGTCTCAAACTCCTAAGCTACCTCGCCTGGCCCTTACAAATATTTTAGCATATATCTCTAGAAGGAGGATCGTTTATTAAAAAAACCCAACCTTACCACAATACCATATCATGCCTTAAACTTTATAATTCCTTAATAACATCAAATACCTGGTCAGCATTCAAATTTTCCTGGTAATTTAATAAAATCTTTTTTTTTTTCTTTTAAAGTCAGTTTGCTTGAATCAGGATCCCAATAAGAGTTTTGGTTGATATATCTCTTAGTATATTTTAATTTAAAAGTTTCTTCCTGTCTTTTTTTCCTTCAAATTTTATTTGTTAAGGGAATTTGGTGTTTGCCCTAGTTTCCCTCATTCTAGATTTTGCTGACTACCTCCCTGGGGAATGCTTATGCTCTTTTTTATCCTCCTCTTTCATTATAACTTCGCAAACCTTTCCCCTACTGCCACATAGTTTTTGCAACCATGTACTAAATGGCTTCATACTATTCCGTCCAGTGGATATATCAGAATTTTTTTCTTAGGCATATAGGTTGCTTTCAGTTTTCCACTACTATAAATATTGCTGGAATGACTATCCTCACACGTTGCAGCTTTTCCTGTACACAGGATGATTTCCTCAGAATGTGCTACCAGAAGTGTAATCATGGCTCTGAGGCATGAGCAATTTTTCAGCTTCTTGGCACATGGTGCCAATCCTTTGTCCAAAGGGTTGTGTGTCATCCAGCACATAACAGTGCTGTCACTCATTCTGAACAGCGCTCAGGCCTATTCACTGCTGGAGGATGTCTGGTGAAGACATGGTAATTATGAGGGCAAAGAGTTAGAGACGGAGAAAGATGATGACAGGGACAGGCTAAATAAAGCAAAAAGTGATCTGCAATTTACACAAACCTAGAGTGAGTCAGAACTCTGTTCATTCCCATTGTGAACCCTGGATAACAGGAGTTATTAATAGGATGTGACACGTCCTGTAATCTTTCTGTTAGACTGTGTGTTAGTCAGAATCTTATTTGAGACGTGGATCCAGTCTGGGTCACTGAACTTGGTAGAGATAGGAGGAAACTGGCAACCATCCAGACAGCTCCATCAACTTGATGGAGATTGGAAGAATCCCAGAGAAAAATTAAAGGCAAGTAGTCTCACTTTGGAAAAAATAGAAACATCTTTCTTGTCTCAATGCTGGGGAGGTTTCTGTGAAAAGGACAACACTCAGTTGCTTGCTTATGTCTGCAGAAGGTTGTCTAGAAGGAAAAGGGCCTCCACAAACCAGGAGAAACTTCTATAGGGCACAAGGTAGAACTATTTCAGACTCTGGGGTGATTATTTAGATCTTGGGATGAGCCCTCTTGGGCCACTGTCCTTGAGAATATTTGAGAAGCTGTCTGTCCTCCTACTCTGAGGAGTTCAAATACGCATCTGCCTGGTACCCACTAGGTGCCTGGGGGGTTCAAATCCAGCTTTGTGACAACTGTTTCCTGGCTGCCCCTGGGGAGGGGTGGGTGAGGACTGAGGGAAGTGCTCCCCAGTTTCCCTGAGCCAGCTTTTCTTTCCTGTCCCTTCACATTCAGGTTGGCATGCCATGACATCATCTGATCCTGCTACTCTAGCCCTGCCATGCATAGAGTGGACTTAGAAGCTGGGTGGGGGAGTGGAAACTACATAGACAAGGCCCTCTTGGTGACATGAAAAGTGGGAGTGACCCAGGAGACCTCAAGAGCCATTTAATTCAACCTCCTACAACAAATAATAGCTTCCTACAATGCAACAGGTGCTTTATATACATTCTTTTGAATTTGCACAGTCTTGGAAGTAGGGTTTCACAGGTGTAGAACTGGAAATTAAGACCAAGGTAAGTGGCCAGGCGTACTGGCTCATGTCTGTAATCCTAGCACTCTGGGAGGCTGAGGTGGGAGGATCGCTTCAGTTCAGGAGTTGGGGACCTGCCTGAACAAGAGGGAGACCCTGTCTCTGCTAAAAATAGAAAAATTAGTCGGGCATGGTGGCACATGCCAGTAGTCCCAGCTACTTGGAAGGCTGAAGCAGGAGGATTGCTTGAGCCCAGGAGTTTGAGGTTGCAGTGAGCTATGATCACGACAAGGCACCTTAGCCAGGGCACAGAGTGAGACTCTTTGTCTCTCAAAAAAAAAAAAAAAAAAAAAGACCAAGGTATGTAATTTGCCCAGGGTCACACTGCCAACAAAGGAATGCCTACACTGTATCTACCTGGCATACAATCTGTGCCCTTATCTTTAGATAATGCAAATGTAAAAATTGCAGACTGGAGCTTCCCACCCAAAGCCACACAAACTGACCTGAGACAGAAACTAGGCTCCTTACTATTCATTAAAGAATCTTTTTACTACACAGGGCCTCTTCTGCCTTCTGACGTGAGGAGGCTGAGGATGTGGCCCTGTTCAGGCCATCCTGGGCCAAGCGTAACTGAGAAGGAGTAGGTAGGCTGCATCCTCTGCCCTGTAGCCTCTCACCTCAGCCAATGTCGGGAAAAGCCAGCTCCCAAGGGGGCCGGGCAGGGCAAAGGGCCGACCTAGTCTGTTTCTGGAGGAGACAATCTGGGGCCAGGGCGGAGGCGGCAAAGTGCAGTGGAAAACCCTGCACCTGGGGTCATAATATCTGGGTTCTGGTCCAGGCTGGGACCCAGCAGAGACCAATGGCAAGTTACTTAAAAGTCTGAGTTTCTGCATCTGCAAAACCAGGGGGAGGGTAAACCACACGTGAAGGGCACAGACGCAAAAGGTGGAATTGTTACGCAGCAAAGTAATATCACCTGATCTTACTATCGCATCACAACTAAACGTCTGTTTGAGCGGCCCCAGAGAAGCCAGGGCCGGAGCCCGAGGGAAAACTACAACTCCCCGCAGGCGCCGGGCGGGCCGCTGCTGAGGCATGGGATAAACTACAACTCCCAGGAGGCGCCGGGCGGGTCGGCGCAAGGTGGTGACGTAACGGGGGCGGGGCGCTGATTCGGCCGGAGCTGCCAGCGGGGTGGCTGCCGCCGCGGGTTGTTACAGCTGCTGGAGTGGCAGCGGCCCCCGGCTCCCGGGCACCCCTCCCGGGCCCTCGACCTCCGGGCCCTCGACCTCCCGCCCCGCACGGTGAGTCCGGACGGGCAGCCTCGGGGTGCCGGAACCGGGAGGCCCCCGGGGCTAGAGGAGGGACGGGAGAGAAGGTGGGGGCTGCTGGGGAGGCGCCCCGGGCTGGAGGAGACCAGGGAAGAGTGACTGGGGGCGTGGGGGGTGCATCAGTCGAGGCAGTGCATTAGCTGAGGACGTGACTAAAGAGGAAAGTGGGAGCGGGAGGCCGGGGGTGGACGTCGAGGAGGAGCGCTTCGGCTGGGGGTGGGAGGCAGAGAACGTCTGGACTTCGGGGATAAAGGTTTGGTAGCCTCCAGAGCAGGGTGAACGCATGGAGATGGGGGTGAAGTCCCGGCCCTGGCCAGGCTCCTAGTGCTAGGTTCCAGGCTGGAGAGCAGAGCGGGAGCCCTTCCCCCCACCCCCGGCCGGAGGTCTTACTCTGAAAACCCCAACAACAGTGAGGACTCCGCCTCCTCGCTCCTCCCCCTCTCCGGATTAGTGAGGGTTAGCCTCGGTACTCACTTTCTGCTCTCATCGCCTTCCCGAGTCGGGGAGGCTGGGCCAGAGCTGAGAGGTGAGCAGCTGTTGTCCTGCACGCTGTAGGGTGGGCAGAATGGAAACGGCATTGTGGCGTGCTGCGCCACGGACTCTCCGTTGGGGACCCCATCCACATCTGGATGTTTTGTGGTCTGCACCCAGAAAGCAGGAGGTTTGCTGTTTAAAGGGCTGCCCTTACCTGAGGGAGGGAGTGGGAAGGGCCCACCTGGTGGCTGCTTTGGGGCGTGCTCTGGCCTCGGCTTGAGTGTCTGACATACTGGCTGGAGCCAGAGGGAGGGGAGGAAAGTACGGGGAAAGAACTACCAGCAAAAAAGTGGTTAACAGAATAGAGTTGCTGTGGGCTCTGGTCTGAGGCAGGTTATGAAACCACATCAGGGGCTGGCACTGGCAGCCACCTGCCAGCTATTTCAGCAGAACTTTTCAGCCTTAGCTGCTGTAGACCTACTGCCAGCCTCCTCTCACTGTTTCTCCCCATCTAGGAGAGGGGTCAACTAATGACAGTGATGTGTGGCCCATAGTCACATGAAAGTCTCAACATTGTTTCCCGACTGCCACTCTTTCTTAGTCTATTGGTCTCTTCCATCTTTATGGGAAGTTTCCTGGGGTTTTCTGCTCTAGGGGCACATAGTGTTCAACTTCAGGAAGAAGCTTCACAGGGTGTCAGCTGGGACCTAGTCTAGGTCCCTCCTAGGCTCATCAAGCTTTGTTGGATGCCCTGTTAAAACCAGAAGGGGGTGTAGGGTCTTGTGATCTGGGATTCAATAAGCCTCTTGGCACTCCTGTACAAAATACTAGGGAGGGCTAGAGGTCTTTCTACACCTACACCGCTGAAGGTCTGGGTTACAGAGAGGGGGTGGGGCTGCAGTTTCTGGTCAGACTAGGGCAACTCTCTCCCTCTGCATAGATAGTGGCAAGTCAAGTCCTTCAGAGCCTTCACTTCGCAGCCAGACACTCCCCCTCCTCCCACAGGTGGAAGCTTTGCATAGTAGGTGTCCCAGGGGCTGTGTTAGGGTAACTGAAGCCCAAAGGCCCTGGGAAGGTAAACAACTGAGCCAGCTCTGGTTTCTAGTTCCTTGGGTTTCTGTTAGGCCCGATTATCCAGCCTGTTGGGCTGGGCTGATGGGCCCCTGGAGTGTCCCTTCGGCCAGGGTGTACCCCATGCTGCTTCACTGATGTTTGCTTGTTGGGATGCTGTGTTGTGGGTCACATATCTTCTGAGGTCTCTAAGCTTGGAGCTGTCTGAAAAGAGGACACTTGCTCCTGTTTTCCTGAAAGTAAGGAACTGACTCCCGAGGATTCTGGGTCCTATGCAGCCTTGGCCAGGCCCCTAGTCAGAGGCAGATAACATCTGACTCTGAGGGTGTTGGTTGTAGTGTGATGATGGAGGTGGCTGGCTGGGCACTGCTAGACTATCTCCATCTGGGACTCCTTTCTTTCCCAGGAAAGATGGAGCTGTTACCTTGGTGATGACTTTAGAGTCTTTAGCAGGCAGGACCCTACTTCAGATAGGTGCCATCTGTTTCCTCCTTCTTCTGGTCACAGGGCCCTCATTGGTCTGGGGACAGCTAAGCTATGGACAAGGGGCAGGTTATTCTCTTCCCTACCTTCTCTGCCTCCCTCTGCCCAGTTTGGGTTGCTGCCTCCGTTGTTTCCTGGGCATTCAAGGCAGCCCTCTTGGTTCCTCCTGCCACAGGTCTCCTGCCATTGGAGCTGGGCAGGGGAAGGCCTGGTGCTGACTTACACCCAGAAACAGCCTGGGAAGGGAGGCTGAGGTGAGGATGGGTAGGGCAGAGAAGAAAGGGGGCAGGAGGGGGCCCATAGGTATAGCTTTGTGCCCTTGGGAGGGGTATGTTGATGTGGGTTCCAGCCATCTGTGGGAGCTGTAGATATTGGCCATGCTCTCTATCCTGGCATCTCCTCTGCAGAGGAAACGGTCCCTGGTGGTTTGGCAGCACAAGGGGTGGCATCACAAGGTTTAGCCTGACCAATTGCCAAATGGATGAAACATCTGGATGAATTGTTTATGTCACCAAGTGTGGGAGCCTTCCAGGTCTCAGCAAAGGTTGTCCCTAGTCTGTTTTCTCCTTTTTTCTTCTCTCCCTCTTTCTGTCCTGTTAGTCCCTTGGGTTAGGGTTGGGAGAGATCCAGGATTGAAAAAATTAGGGGAGGTAGGTGGAAGCAACACCCCAAAATATTTTATCCACCGCTGCCTGTGCCCACAGGCCTTGTGTCCTTTTACTACTGATGGGAAGATCTTAAAAGGAGATGTCCCACACTCGGCCCTCAGTGAAAGAGTGCGGCAGGGGATGTGCTGAGTGAGAATTCGTAGGGGGGGCAGTTCTCCTCTCCCCTCCCTGGGCTTTGTGGACAGAGGGCCCTTATGGGAATGCCATAGGGGGTGAGATGGGAGTGGATGTTGACCTCTCTGCTCTGGGCTGCATGCTTCTTGATGACCTGTCCTCCAGGCACTGCCGGGGCACTGTCCCGATGGGAGGGTGCGTGGGGCAGCATGGTGTTTATCCCAGCCCAGCAGCGGGAAATGCATAGAGCTAAGGCCACATGGACTTTCTCCAGCCTCCATGCTTGAGAACCAAAGCAGTAGGACTGCCTGGAGTTCTCAGGGAAAGTAGAGCCTGCCTCCCTGCAGGCCTTGGAAAGTGTGAGGGGGCAGGGAGAGTGGTACGACCTGTCTCACCTGTGCTGCTTGTTTGCAGAACAGCGGAGAGGGGCAGCAGGATGAATGTGGGCACAGCGCACAGCGAGGTGAACCCCAACACTCGGGTGATGAACAGTCGCGGCATCTGGCTCTCCTACGTGCTGGCCATCGGGCTTCTCCATGTCGTGTTGCTGAGCATCCCCTTTGTGAGTGTCCCTGTCGTCTGGACCCTCACCAACCTCATCCACAACTTGGTGAGCACCTGCCTGCTGCCTGCCCCGACCATGTGGGGATGAGGGACAGGAGGAGCCCCCACCAGACATGGGCCAGATGTCACAGTGATGTACTGACAACATCTGTCGCCAGAGCCTGGGCCTAGCTCTTATCTCTCTGCCTTACTCCCCCTTCTGCGTTCCAGCCCTGTGCACACTGATGAGAATCAAATCTGCAGATTTGTCCGTGTCTGGGGTGGGGTTGCTGTGGGCCTGGAAGATGGGCCATTGAGAGCTGAACAAAGGGCTTCAGAGTGTCCCCAGGACGCAGGAGTCCTGGTGCCTAGCCTGGTGCAGAAATGCTTCTTTCCAAGTTAGAATCTCCAGCCATCTTCCACTCTTGTCCTTCTCTGTTCCCTCAGCACCTGCTGCCTCGCACTCTTGGTGGGCAGTAGGGTTAGTCCCTACCATCAGACTGCCTCCTCCCTGCTGGCACACTGGGGGCTGCCACTGGGCTGGAGGGGGCAGCTTGTCTGCAGCCCTTCCTCTTGCTGTGCATTCTTCTCATGCCAGGCCTGCTGTCCCCCATAGGAGGTCCCCTTGCTCTTCCCCCTCCAGGCTTCCAGCTGCTCCACCCTGACCCCCAGCCCATGTCCTCCTGCCGGGCAGAGGGAGGTTCCACATCACTTGGAGCCACTTCTTTCTGTGACTGGGTGGAAGAGCTGAGCCAGAGGCCTATTGCCTTTTGTGTCCTTTAACAAAGACCCTTTCCTCCAGGGCATGTACATCTTCCTGCACACAGTGAAGGGGACACCCTTCGAGACCCCGGACCAGGGCAAGGCGAGGCTGCTAACCCACTGGGAGCAGATGGACTATGGGGTCCAGTTTACAGCCTCTCGGAAGTTCTTGACCATCACACCCATCGTGCTGTGAGTGCCTGGGCTAGGGGAGGATGCCAGCAGGCAGGGCAAGGCCTGGGGGACCCTGTGGCCCAGTCAGGCTTATTGACCCCACACCCTCCCCAGCTCTGGCCCCTAACATAGGGATGGACAGAGGAAGGGAAGTTGGAGTGTCCCTGGGTCCTACACTGGGCTCAGACTTGGGCCTCCCTGGCCCTGCCTTTCCTTGTTTGGAGCTTCCTTCCTGCTAGGGAGATGGGCCCTACAGGCCGGGGTTGCAGTGGGAGTCTGGATCTAGAGGGGCCTCTTTAGCCTGGGAGATCATCTTCCAGTCTGGGGACCTCTCCCATAGCTGCTCAGCTGTCAGGAATCTGCCTCTCCCACCCAGGAAGTGAGGGAAGAAGGGGTCCTCCAGTCTTTATATCTCTCCCAACCTTCCCCCCAGGTACTTCCTCACCAGCTTCTACACTAAGTACGACCAGATCCATTTCATCCTCAACACTGTGTCCTTGATGAGTGTGCTTATCCCCAAGCTGCCCCAGCTGCACGGAGTCCGCATTTTTGGAATCAATAAGTACTGAAGACGCAGCCCCCGCCCCTGCCCAGGCTGGCGGGGGAGGGCAGGAGGCCTGCGCTAGATGCTGAAGACGGAAGGAGCCTCTGGACGCTGCCGGAGATGGGGGTTGAGCCGCTGGGCCTAGTTTCCCCCTTGCTTCCCCCAGTAGCCAACCTGGAGTAGCTTGTAGTGGGGTTGGGGTGGGCCCCCCGAGGCTCTGACCCCTTTTGATTTTTTTTTAAAATCTTTTCCTTTTGCCTTTTGAATAGAGACTCCATGGGGCTGGTCATGGAATGGGCTGGGCCCCTGGGCTGAGCATGGACCACCATGGGACAGGAGGCCGGGGAAATACCCCTGCTCACTTGTGTATCCTCAGGTGGCCAAAGCACTTTAACCCTTGCAAGGGGAGCAGAGAGGTGGTACAGCTTCTGGACTGTTCCGCTTTGATTCTCATATCTTAGCATGGCACGCAGCGTGTGCTTGTATGTACGAAAGCAAGTGTGTGAGGGCCTTGCCCTTCTGGGGAGAGAGCTGCCTAATCCCAGTCTCAGGCTTCTGGCAGCTTCCCTAGAAACCCAGCTGGGTCCTGGTTGGGAGTGGGGAGGATGAGGAGCATGAAGGCAGGGAAGAGTGTGGATGGCCTTGTCCCAGAGGGGAGGTGGCCAGGGCTGCTGCCATCCTGGCCCTGGTGGAGGTTGGGAAGTGGGGTAGGGGGGCTAGTGATTGAGACTTATGAGAATGGGGTCGCATAGCAGCAGAGGATTAGTGTAAGGCAGGGGGGTGGGGGCAGAAACAGACTCTGCTCTGGGATGCAGGTGGAGAGGGCAGCTGGGGAGAGAGGGCAGCCAGCCTGGAGGGTTAGTTTACCCACAATAGGGAAGGGAGGCTGCCTGGGCTGGGGGAGCTCCTGGGCTGGGGGAGGGAGTGGACAGGGGAGGAAGAGGCCTGAGAGCACAGGTCCCGATTGGTACTGTCTCCTGCAGTGGTGTGAGGGGTGTGGGGAAGCTGCAACAAAAACGGTGGATGGTGCGACCCTCTGCAGCCCCTCGCCCCCAACCTCCTGTGCAGACTGGCACTGAGGCAGGGCCTCTCGTGTCATGCACCTGGGGACTATCAGGCCACCCTCACATGGGGGCGGTGGACTGGAGAGTCTGCAGGACCCTGCTCCAGCAGGGCAGTGGGGGGAGCAAGGAGTGGCCTGCGGGCGCCGTCTCTGCAGCCTGAGCAGGGCTGGCGAGGAGCCTTCTCCCTTCCCAGTCCACCTATGGGTGGTGTGACTTTTGAAAAGGTGTGGGTACCTGTGTCCTCGCCCAGGGGCCTGAAGGAGGAAGGGAGGTCACTGGCCCTGTTTTCTGTCTCCTGGCCCTCTACCCTCCACCCCATGTATCATAGGGAACTTTCACCTCAAAATCTTTCTAAGCCAAGTGTGAATAGGATTTTTACTCCCTTTGTACAGTATTCTGAGAAACGCAAATAAAGGATGATGTGTTCCTGTTTCCCCCTGTCTGGCCTCTGCTTCCTGGAGGGGCAGGGCTGTGGTCATCAGTGAAGCCCTCTGACTGGACGGCAGAGGGACTCTGGGACTGCTGGTCTTTCTGTCCCCAGCAGAGAAATCCCTTAAGGGGCCTGTGAGGGAGCAGAATTCTCTGTGCCCTTGCCTGGCTGTTCCTCCAACAGGCCTTGCACCTCTGGGCTCCACAGGCTGGGGTGGCCTGTGCTGTGGTAGGCTGGGGGTCAGTCTTGCAGGGGTTTACAAGTGGAGCCAAGATCCTAAGGGGTCCCCTGTTTTTCCCTCTGAATACCCCAGGTCCCTTCCCCAGTTTCTCCCTTCTCTCCCCAGGGCCTTCCCTCGGTCACTTCTGCCCCGGGACAGCAGCGTTTCTCCTGGCCTTTCTGTCCAGGGGAATTTCCACGTTTCCTCCTTCCACCATAAGCATGAGTAGAAGGGGAAGAGGGAATCCCTCAGGACTGAGGCTCTCATGGGCAGGAGAGAGAGGAGTCCTATCATGGAGGAATCCGTATCTCTTGAGGGCACTGGCCTTCCAGCATGTTCTGTGCAGTATCACCTGCTATCTCCAGAATGGGTCCCAGGTGGAAGGGAGGTGCTGGCTCCAGCAGCTGGGGCTCCTCTCTGGCCCTGATCCTTGGAGTGGGTGTTAGAGTGTGGGATCCTTGCCCAAGTGCAGCCACCATCCCCCTCCTTGAGTAGGGCCCGAATTGTATTGGGATCAGAAATGCAGCCACTGGGCTCGGTCCTGAGAGTGGGGGCACCCTGGTTGCTTTCATAGGCCTGCAAGAGGACAGGCAGGGTTAGGCGATGGGGCACATCCCCAACCATCTGGGTTCAAATCCCAACTCTGCCACTTACTAGCCACATGGACTTGTCAAGGTACTTCTCTGAGCTTTAGTTTCTCCCCCTGTTGTATGAGGATAATCCCTCTTAGGACCGAGCATTAGCACAGTGCCTGGCGAGTAGGAAGTAATGCTTGGCAGCCATAGTATTACTATAAGCGGTACCGCCACCACCATTGTCTCCTTAAATGTTCTTTCAGACTGAGGCATGTGGAGGCCAGAAGACAGGCTGGGCTCACTGGGTGCAGAGGGGTGGTGCAGAGCCTCTCTCTGGAGGAGGCAGGTGGAGTAGTAGGTGACACCCAGCTAGGGAAGGTCTGCATCTCCCTGAGGGGCGTGGGAGCATGTGGGGGTGGGCCCGGGTGCTCCTTACAGGCCCAGCCTGTTCCCTGCAGGTGTTAGCTGCTGTTGTCCCACGTCTTCACTGTTGCGAGCACAGCATGGCACATGTGGGTAGCTGGTTCTGGCCAGGTTACTATCCTCATAGCCGTGGCACAGCCATAGCCATTGTCTGCTGGCACTTGGCTGATACCCACCTGTGTTCCAGGTCTCTATTCCAAACTCCCTGGATTGCATGGCCCAGCGTGCTTCGTCTGTGCCATTTTCTGGCCCCAGCCCACCTAGAATATACATCAGGATCTCCCACCTGCTCCTTGGGTCCCAGAGGAAGGAAAGAGTTCTGGCCTTATCTGCCTTAAGCTTAGTCATAAAATTTGCTTATCTAAAGGCCTGGAAGGTGGGGCACCCAGCCCCACCCAGCCTTTTAAGAAGTGCTCCCCTGGAGAACTTTCAATTCCATCATTACAGATTCTGGAGACTTGGAGGCCAGGAATGTGCAGAGATCTGACAGGAGATTCTTAACAACCTTCATTTCTGGTGAACAGCTAAGGACAGAGAGGAGGTGGGTAGTCCCTGAGATGGGCCTGTGGTTCCTGGGCACTGTCTTTCCAGACACCTAGAAGAACTCTCAGGTTGGGAGTGAGCTGATAGTTGGCCACCGTGATGGGGACAAGGACAGAGAAGGAGCAGCGGGTAGGTAGGTGGCTGGGCCAGGAAGAAAGGATGTGGGGGAAGGTGGCCAGAGGTAGGATGGGGAAGTGGATCTCAGGAAGCTTTTATTTCTTTGGAGGCCAACTTACCGCCATCTCATTGGGAAACGGTTGGTAGGGAGGCACCCATCCAACTGCCTTGCAGAATCCAGCAAGGGAGGGAGCCCGGGAGTCAGAGCCAAGGGAAGAAATAACCAGTTGGGGCTGGTAATGTGAGGTCTGGCAGCTGTGCTCCTCATCCTTCCCTCATTCTTCCCTTCGTCAACATGGGAGAGAGTCTGGCTGAAGGACAGTGGGCCTGCGAGACCCCCTCAGGCCCTTGGAACAAGGTGGTAACTGCTGCAGGAGATGAATGAGTTTCTCCTTCTTTGCTCCAGACAGGTTCTACGAGGGGCAGAGAAGAATTGGGGATCTGTGGTGTTTACCCTCCTTAATGTGTCATGGCTGCCTCACCTTCTAGAAACAGGGAAGGCAAACCATCATAGGTCCTGGTCATCCTGGAACCTTTGGCTCTTCCTTGACTCCAGGTTGCCAAAGGTAGAAGATTTAAAAACTTGAACCAATACCTTCTCCTCCCCCAAACTGAAATTGCCTTCTCTTTCCCAGTTGTTTCAGGGACAATGCCCAGCATGTTTGAGGGATGCACAAGAACTGTGGTCCAGGAGATGGATCCCGGAGGGGATATGATTCCTGTCAGAAGTGCTCTCGATGCTGACAGATTCTGCTGTTTCTGGTTGGTGAGGGAGAAGAGAGGTTTCTTTGGAAGCCAGACCTCACCTTGATGGACATATTGGAGACAGAGGAGGGTGAAGGGCCCTGTGATGAACTGGATTCTGGGCTCCAAGGTCAGTATGAGGTGGAGGAGAGGTGGCCATCCAAGAGGGCTTGCCCACTTGTACTCCATCCCATTCTCAATTCCCCATGGCCATCGTCCAAGTCAACCAATCAACAAAGGAACTGTGGAATTTGTACCAGCACATCCTCACACCTTAATCTAAGAAATACACAAAAGGGCTGCATGAAAGGAGGTGTGTGGGGGAATTGGAGATTTATTCCTATTGGAAACTATTCCTAAATAGCTTTCCTTTTCCATTTTTTTTCCTTTATAGATAATTTGCTTTTAAATTAGCTGAGCTCTTCTCCTATGTTTATGTGTTTATTATCTAAATGGAGGCAGTTTGCTTGATGGTTAAGAAAGGATTCAGACTTTAAAGCTAGAGGCACTTGGTTTCCAAGCCTGGCTCTGCCACTTACATGCTGGATAATCTCTGGACAAGTTGCTTCATCTCTCTAAGTTTCAGTGTTTCCTCACCTGTTGACTCTAGAAGACTATTGTAAGAATCCAATGAGAATAAATTATATAAATCATTGTCATAGTGCCTGGCACAAAGGAAGTACTCAATAAAAGTTAGCTCCAATCATTCTGGTGGTGGCAGTGATTATTATTATCCTTTCTTGTTCCCTGGATATCGTGACTGAAAGGGAAGTTGCTGTTGAGCAGAGATCCCTGAGGCTTGAAGGGATTTATAGAAGAGTCAATTAATCCCTCCCCCTGCCTCTGATCTCAGCTATTCCTGGGGTTTCTTGGGTTTCAGAAAACCTAGGATAAGTGTTTTTGAACCCTCACTTGGAGACCTATTTCAGTGAAATATAGTGTTTCATAATGTAAAAAATTTTCACAATATGAAAAATGGTGAGGAGTTTCATAGCTCAGACCTCTCTGATGTAGCCCATTTCTTTTTCTTGGGTCTCATACCAAGAGATGGAAAAGAGTTCTAACAATACCACCAAACAGTTTTAGAGCACCTAACATGTGCCATGCATTGCTGTAAGTGACCAAGAGCAGTACCCAGATTACTTGGAGGGGTTGGGTCTTCCACAAGTGGAGTTTAATTAAACAAGCAAGGGGTGTGAGGAGAAATTTCAAGTTAGCATATTTCAAAGACTGAGTCAATTCTCTGAATAGCAAATTGCCAAGAGCCAATTTACTAAAAGCCAGTTCTTAAAAAATTAAGTTTGCTAAATGATTAAATTCACTGAAAATAGAAAAATACTTTAACCTGGGACTATGTTGTTTTTGCCAGGGACAAGATCAAAAGTAAAAGTTTGAAAAAAAATTTGTCTAAGTTAACTTCCTTCAAGGAAAAGGCCATCTGTTTGCATACAAAATTCAGAGGGAGAGGTGAAATCAAACTTAAAAAAAATTTCTTACAATGAAGTGAGTTGGTAATTTGATTTTCAGCAACTTGGCCTGCTCCCTTTTCAAACAGATTATTTTTTAAGTATATAGTGCTGATGGTGTAGTTAGGGTTTTTTTTTTTTTTTAAATTAAGGTCCATACTTTATTCATATTATCTTAGTTTTTACTTAATGTCCTTTTTCTAGTCCAGAATCCTATCCAGGACACCACGTTGCATTTAGTTGTCATGTTTCCTTAGGCTCTTCTTGGCCGTGACAGTTTCTCAGACTTTCTTTGTTTTTGATGACCTTGGCAGTTTTGAGCAGTACTGGTCAGGCATGTTGTAGAATGTCCTTCTATTAGAATTTGTCTGACTTTTTTCTCCTGGTTAGACTGGGGTTCTGGGTCTAGGGCAGGAAGACCACAGAGGCGAGGTGCCATTCTTATATTATATCGAGGGATCACTATCAACATGACTCACCACTGTCAATGTTGACCTTGGTCACCCGGCTGAGATAGTGTTTGCCACATTTCTCCACTGTGAAGTTACTCCTTTTTCCCTTTCTCCATACAGTACTCTTTGTGTACCTAGTTTTTATTTTTCTTTTCTCTCTGATGAAGTACATGCAAACTTTTACACTGCTCAAGAAACAAATGGGCTCTAAGACCTAAGCATCACATGTGTGGTGCTGACTTCAGGCACTGTTTCCAATTCTGTCACCTATCCACCAGTCCCAAAATGGATTTTTCTCTGGAAATCCAGCCTGCCCCCAGCTCTGCCTTCTTTGTTGGTTCCCACTTGGGAGTTCTGGGAGAAAGGCACGTGTCCCTTCAGCATGCCCACACACCCTCCACTAACCCTGGGTGGCAGCTGACTCAGAGTCAAGCCCTTATTAGTGCCTGAACAGTTGGGGCAGAGTCCACACATGTGGGTGACTTGCCAGGATTGCCTTGTTTTGTACCTGCTCGGTTCATGCAGACAACAGACAGAACTGCTTAATTTCTATTTCCCAATTGGTAGGGGATCCTACTTCTTTAGCTTTACTTTTCCTTGTCTCATTTTGGGCTCTCAATGGTTAAATAGGACTAGCTCACAATTATTGAGCACTTAAGAATTGTGTGCAAGGCACTTTGTTACGTGCTTAACTGCATTATTTTATTTAATTTCCCTAAGCATGGGAAGTAGGTACTATTAATATTCTCCTTCTATAGGTGAAAAAACAAAGTCAAAGGGGTTGAGGCCTGGCAGGCGGTGGCTCACGCCTGTGACCTAGCACTCTGGGAGGCTGAGGGGAGAGGATTGCTTGAGCTCAGGAGTTTGAGACAAATTCAAAGAGGTTGAATGATTCACCCAAGGTCATTTGGTGAGAAGGTGGAAGAATGGCTTCAAACCTGGGATGGTGTGACCCCACAGTGCCTCTGCCTCTGGTGAGAACAGCACTTCCTGGGGAGCCACAGCTCGCCCTGGCAGAGGAGTAGGGGTAGGGGTGGGCTCCATCAAAGGGAGGGGGGTGGTTGGGGGGAGCTCAGGACGGGGCTGCTCCAGGGAGGGTTTTCCAGAGATCTTTGGGTCAGCTCTGGTGTGGACTTTATCCTTCTTTTTCCAGGTCAAAAGGCTGAGTTCCAAATTCTAGACACTGTGGACTCAACAGGAAAGTTGACAGTGAAATTACTGGAAGAAATATCAATTGCAGGGGAACTCCAGGGGTCTCATGAGCAGAAAATCAAGATATTGAAGAACCAAATATCCCAGCAATATCTGGAAACCCTTGTGAACAGGTGAGGCTGGAGTTGGGAAGCAGGGGGGAGGGAGGAGGGAGAAGCCCATTCTAGGCACCAGGGGATCCAGGGGTGGGGGCAGCAGCTCCCTAGTGCAGCCTCTCCCTGCCTGCTCCCTGCGCTCCCCTCCCGACCCACCCACGCCTTTACCCAAGCACGCCTCCCTTATCTGTACTGTTAGGAAGGCTTCTCATTCTAACAGGAGCAGCCACCAGGAAGCCCTCTGAACCCCAGTACACTCACATCCCCGGGACCCTCCGGGGCGATTAATTACTCTGACTCGGACAAACATGCTGGTGTTGGACAAACATGCTGGTGTTAAGAGGCTACTCTCCTTGCTCTCCTGTACTGAGCTGCCCAAACCAGTATTTTGTGCTTGTTCATTGTGCCTCGAGGGCAAGCCTGTGGTTTCTATGTTTGTCTTCCCCACAGGACTGGGAGCAACTCGTGACAACTGACTTTACTAACTTCTCTCTGTTGACGCCCAACACACAGTACGTACTCAGTAAAAGAGCTGAAGTGAAGCACAGTGAAATCAGAGCATCCCTTGTAGAGCATTTCCTGTGCAGAGAGTGCCACCACTCCACCCCAGCAGGGTGGCACTAATCAAATGCCACCGAGGTTCTGACAGCTGGAGAACATGGTGCTTCCAACTTAAGGGGGCATCACTCATTGTCCCCTGACGCAATAGTTTTGTCGTTGGTGTTGGTGTTTTCTTCCTTAGCTGGGATTGTTGGAGATTGAAGGTAGCTCGGGGAAAGTTGCGCCACAGTTCTCCAAGGCTCACTTTCCCTGAGTGGGGTGGGCATTTTTTCTTTCTCTTTTTATGTTACAAACTGAAAGGCTTACAATACAATTTTACTGGTCTCTTGAACTACCCCTCCACACCACAGTATTACTTGAGAGTTTTTCTAAGGGAGCTCAGTTTTTTTCTAGAACGCCTGTTGTTTCTAGGTGAGGGTGTTGGTGTCTGTATACAGTGGGAGGCACTGGATAGGTAGGGGAAGGCCATCAGAGGCAGGGATGCATGTCTTCCCTTAGGGTCTTTCGGTTGCAAATAGCAGAAACTCCATCAGACTGTTTTAAGACATAAAATGAATTTTGTTATGGAATGAGATGCCTCATGAGCCCAGGGGCAGCTTGCTCCATGGACCGGCCTGGAGCAAGGAGCTGGAGTCTTTTGTCAGAGAAGGGGGTGTCTTGGGCTGGTCAGCTGCCTAACTCAATATCATGGGAAGGACACACACACTTTGGACTTACACAGACCAGGGTTTGAATCCCAGCTCTACACTTAACTGGCTGTGTGATCTTGGACCATTCACAACCTGTCATGAAACCTCAATTTCTTCACATGAAAAATGGATGCAGTTCTGCCTACATCCCAGGATTATGGTGAGGGTTAAATGAAGTGACGTGTGAAGTATCTCAGTGCTGGCACATTGTAATCTTTCATAAATGCTCGTGAGTTCTCTTCCCACTTGGTACCGTCTCCCCCAGGGGTAAACTGCGATGGGGTGCTGTGTTCCTTGGTTTTCCAGCCTCAGAAGCACTTAATCTCAAATAGGAACTGATGGACAGCAGAGTGTCACTGGGAGGTGGGTCCCTGAGATTCTGAACTCCCATCCCTTTCTACTCCCTCCAGGCAGCTGAAGAAGAAACTACCACCTTCGTTTCAATCACTTCACACAAGGAGAGAAGACCTGCATCTGGTGACAGAAACTCTGGAGACAGTAAATAAGGAAACCCTGAAAAGTAAATGGCAGTATGGATTTCTGAGCCAAATCTATCAGGCCCTTCACCTCAACTATGCACAAAAGGTTATGATCCTGGGAGGCAGGGACTGTAGGAAAGCCAGCATTCCCTGGCCCCCACAGGTCAAGGGGATGGAAGCCCAGACTCTAAACTCTTCAGCTCTTCCTTCAGACCTCTCTGAGCAGCCAGGCTGCTCCGTGGCCTTCTTGCCCCTACAAAGGGTATGCGGCATTACCCAGTGTCTCCCTGGTTACTCTTCAGTGATACTCTATTTTCAGTTTTTTCATAGCACTTCCTATGGTTCATAATTACACCGGTGTTTTCTCTTGCTTGTTCATTGTCTGCCTTCTTTTCTAGAAGGCAAGAGGACAGGAGGCACAGTGCCTAGAACAAAGTGAGTCCTCAATAAACATTTGTTGAATGAACAGTGGCAACTTGTGTTTTGATGTCAGATGTGGATTCAGATATTAGCTCTGCCACTGTTTTTAACTGTGAGACTGACTCATCTACTTACCTCTCAGAGCCTCAGTTCTCTCAACTGTAAAATGGGGATAAAAAGTCTACCTCACAGTATTGTTTGGGAGCTCAGGCAAGATAACTATGTGAAGTATCTAGGGATCCATCAATGTGAGCTTCTTTTTCCTAGCATGGAAGGGAAAAGTGACCATTCCCTCGAATCAGGTCCTGGACTATCGATTAAAGCAGCTTATCTTCCCCAATGAGAAGGAAATGAGTAAGCAAGGCCTGGTGGGAGTAAGGGGGGCCCTGAACACATGGTGGGGTGGAGGTAGATTCAGCCAGGCTCTTTGTCAGCCTAGGCTGGGTGGCCGGTGAGCTTGGAGGTGGGGGGAGGGCTCCCAGGAAGGGAGGATGAGGGAAGAAGGATGGGAAGAAGGATGAGGCTCCATTCTCTGACCTCGTGACCCAGACCTGGCTGACCAGGATATATGACTCATCAACTATGGCACCAACTGTTCCCTGGAGGTGTTAATTCTCATTTCAGTCTCCCACTAGTTGTCTTTATTTATTTTTTTTTTAATTTTTGGTTGAAGGCAGAAAAAGGGATACAGAGAGTATAGTGATCTCTCTCTCACTCTCCTTTCTGGTGCTGGTTTAGGTATTTATTTCTGGGGCAAAACAAAATCCTTTCCAGAAGGTGAGTGAGCTGCTGGTCCTGCTGTTCGTCATTTCAGAATGGGCAGGGATACTACTTTTAAAAAGAGGATAACAGACGACCTGGAATTACAGAGTTGTTAGGGCTAAGAATGTAGTAGGATGCACCCAGAGGTGGGAATCATGGTGAGAGCAGGAGAAAAATCTGCCTGTTGGAGAAGCATTCTGAATTGAATGTTGGACTAGGGTTTCCAGGTTGCTCCTAGGACAACTTTGTCTTGCTTTGTGCTGGGCAGTCTGCTGGGTCCTGGCTTACAGCCCTCACTGAAAGCTTATTGGCCTGGGAAGCACAATGGAATTACCTGGCCAGTTCTCACATGACAGCACTGGTTGTGACAAGAGTACTGGGCTGGAGTTGGACAGTCTCAGGATCTAGTCCCACTCTGCTACTCTTTAGCTTTATAGCCTCCCAGATCAGTTTTCCTGATTTTAAAATAAAGGGGTTAGATTAGAAGATCCTTGTGATTCTGAATGTGGCTTCCTCTGGAATTTCTAGTTTTTTCCCTAGATCCCAGCAGGGTTATACTGCCTAAGAGGCATTGGGAAGGGATGGAGGGAGGGCTGCCTCAAATTTGCTGGGTGACTGAATATCTGGTGCACTCTGTTTGGGCCTTGGCTGCATCTTCATTGTCTAGGCATGATCCTATGGCTGCCTATCATCGAGGATATGGGAAGGGGGCCTGTGAATATAGAGCTTTCCAATTTACACACAGTAACGAGGATGCAGGCTCCCTGGTGTGGGCAGTGAGGGCTTGGAGTGCAGCAATGAAAACTTCCATCACTGCAAAGAGAATGTGTACGAGAGGGCTGGAGGTAACCTGAAGACACTCTGAAATAATTCTTCCTCTCTTGCAGAGAAGGGTGGTGGTCCATCCTGCTTAAGGATGGTTACCAAGTGTGTTCAGGGTGGCCGCACCCATCCAACCTTGAGCTCACCTGGTTCACGACTGCTGCTCAGGTGGGGTCAGCTGAGGGGGTATAGAGGGGGGCAGTGCCCAGCAGGTTTCAACTTTAGTCTGGAGGTTGCATCTGTCCCCGCTAAATGCAGTGGTTCTCATTGGTTGTGCACTGACATCACTTAGGGGAAGTTTATTTATTTTACATACTGGATCTTGCTATGTTACCAAGGCTGGTCTTGAACTCCTAGGCTCAAGCCATCCTCCCGTCTCAGCCTCCCAAGTAGCTGGGACTACAGGTGTACACCACCATGCCCAGCAAGGGAACTTTAAAACTAGTGACATCTGAATCCCTTCTCCAGAAATTCTGACTTAACTGGTCTGGGGTGTGGCCTGGGCATCAGGAGTTATAATAATGCTCCAGGCGATTCTCATGCACAGTCGAGGTTGGGAACTACTGCTTTGAGTTTCTCTAAATCCTCATTACTCCTAGTGTGGCCTGAGGACTGCACTTTGAATGGCAAGGACTAAATAACCAAGTTTTGTTTTTTTTTCCTGGAGTTGGAGAAGAATTTTGGGTTGGGGCTAGATTGAGGGTGATTTGGGGAGATGGAAGTGGGAGGTCAGTGGGAGGCAATGATTATAGGTGTCTGGGAAGAAGGGTGCTTCATTTAACAGGAGAAGATTGGGAGAAGGGAAGGTACAGGGAGGTGGTCTCCAGAAGACAGGCAGATAAATAAGGGAGACTTAGGAGTAAAGCCTGTTGGGCTGTCTCTATAGGAAAGTCCTTGAGTTCGGAGGATTCCAGAAACATGAAGGAGAAAGTGCATGACACGGTGAGAAGCCTCCAGGATCTGACTGAAAAGGAGCAAAGAGATGTGCTAAGCTCCCTCACGAAGTGCCTCAGCAAGGATGAGCATTTAGAGGATCTAGAGCAAAGAGTAAGGGACCCTGAGACAGGACTGGGACAGAGAAAGAGAGGAGCCGGGGAGAGCAGTCGGCATAATGAGGACAATCTGCTACAGCAAGACTAATGCTCAGCTTCCCCATCTCCTGGCCCCAGGTGTTTGAGGCTCTGAAGTCTAGAGCACTGCAGATGGAGGGTTCAGCAGGTCCTCTCCTGAGCAGCCTTTTTAATACTGTTGGGAGCCTGGTAGATGGACGTGCAAAAGCCATTCTGGACTTCCTGGATGCCTTGGGAGGCAAGAAGGGTCTGGCTGCATGGTAGAGGAAGTGCTCAGCAGAGAGGCCTGTGCAGAACCAAACCTTGGAAAGAGGGGGTGCATGCTGCCCTGCATGCTTCATGAGGGACAGCCCTTCCCATTTCAGAGACTAGTCATCTTCCTCAGGCCAGACATTGAGGGGCTGCCACCTCTTCCCCCTTGGTATAGTCTGTGACCTACTGAAGGCTGGGAGGGAAGCAGGAGCCGCAGCAGGAGCCCATTTAGAATAACTCTCATCTAGCACCCCCAGGAGCTCTCTGGAACCGTCTGATGACACGTTCTTGACCTCATCAGCTACTGAAGTCCTGTCGCACCATGTACCTCTTCTTTCTGCCAACCATCCTCTTTTTTCCCCCCAGAGCTGTCTGAGAAGAAGCAGCTTGTGTCTGAGGCCTTAGAAAAAGGGATCCTGCCCCTGTTGAAGGATGAGGTGAGACAGCCTGGGCTGAGGGCCAGGGTCATAGTGGAAGTGAGTAACTATGTTCTCAAGGGACCCAGAAGTCCCAGAGTACAGTCCCTTTTTGTACCATAGTTCTCTGCCAGCTCACATCCCTGCAGCTGGTATGTGACAATTCCCTGGATGCACAGTTGCCAGGACAACTTGGGGTGGGTTTTTTAGGCTTTGTTGCCTGCCTATGGGCAAGAGTGGGGTGGCAAATGTTAGTCCCAGGGCGGCAGCTGGTATGGTCCTGAGTGTGTGTCCAATGTTGATGGATTAGCAGTGCCTGCCACTCTGTTGGGAGAGTATGAGGCTCTCTCCATGCTCTGCAGGAAGGAGTGCCATGATAGATCACTACATTTGCCCTTGGGCTCAGGATTAAGGGGTATGGCCAAGTATTTGCCATTTCTGGTATATCGTTGTTGGCAGCTTTTGCAGTCTGGTGGATTTCCTTCCAGGTGAAGTCTGGGATGGAGAAGGTCTGGGATAAGCAGGCCAGCAATCCTCATGACATGACCCATGACCCTGAGGCATGAACCCTCTGTGCCCTCTATGTTGCCATCTCTATCCTGCTGCAGCTGAGTTCGGAGCCCACCTCTGCCTCTTCTTAACTACAAAAGCCCTAATCCTTCTCCCCACAAGCCTCTGGGGTTTCCTCTCCGCAGTCCATCCTCATTGCCACTACCATTTCCTCTGTCTTTCACCAGCAGGACCTCTTTAAAACAAGCAGGTGACCATCTTTTGATGCTTCCTATTCCCTACATGTTAATGTCCAAAATCAGCCTGGATTTTATGCATGAGCTTCTGATTAAAAGTTTAAGATCAAACATATTAATTTCTTTCCCTCTTGAAACCTCACCAAGTGACAGTAAAGCAATAGAAAAGCTTGATATGCTGGGCACAGTGGCTCACACCTGTAACCCAGCACTTTGGGAGGCTGAGGCAGGAGGACTGCTTGAGACCAGGAGTTGGAGATCAGTCTGGGCAACATAGTGAGGCCCTGTCTCTATGAAAAAATTTAAAAACATTAAAAAAAAAGAGAAAAGCTTTGTGTAAATCCACAAGCATAAAAAGAATGTGGCAGCAGATAAGAGATTATAACACATCTTTGGAAGCTAGAAAGCAATTAAAAGAGTGCAAGCTGGGATGTGTAGGACTGAGGATAGGGGAAGGAGACTGCTATTTTCATCACAAGCCTTTTAGTTCTATTTGATATTTAAAAAAATATATAACTAAAAGTTAAATGTATGCTTTTATAAAGTGTTTCAAACATTTCTCAAATATAAAGCAGAAGGTCAAAGTACTTTGTGACCTCCTCTTCTTTTTATGGAGACTGAGAGAGGTAAGTGAATTATCAGGACACTAAAGTAACTTTGCCCTAGGTGATGACAGGATTAATATTTTTCAAATCCAGGCAAACTGGGTTTCAGTTTATCCAGCTTCCTGGATTGATGATTCCAGAAGCCAAGACCAAGGGGCTATCCAAGGTTGGGAGTCTAATAAAAAGGAGACATTCCCCACTGTGTTAGATGGTAATCTCAAAGGGCTGCGTTGTAATGATTTAGAGTGAATCACCCAGGGGAGTGCAGGGAAGACTCTTGGTACTGAGTGAAGAAGAGGTTAACAGAAGGAAAGGAAAAAAAATTCTGAGAAATTGTGGCCATAGACCACTCTTTTCACAGAGCTTAGCCTGTGTTTGCATCATCTCAGCATTTCAGGGAATTACAAATTATGAACTTGGGGTTTGTGAGGGTCTTGGATTGATTTTACTCCCAGATGCATGTCAGAAGCAAACTAATCATTTCTGGAGGAAATCATTTTCCACAAATAATTTTTTAAGGACAATGAGTGATTCCCAGGTAAAAAAAAAACAAAACAAAAAAACCCCCAAAGCATTCCAGGAAACACTACCATGAGCAAGAATGAGCAGAAACAACAGACAGTAGAAAGGGATATATGAAGACATGTTGAAATTATCAGACTAGATTATGAAAACATGCTTATTATGTTTAAAGAAATTTAAAAATGAACTTAAAAATACAGGCAGAGGCCGGGCACGGTGGCTCACGCCTGTGGCTCCTAGCACTCTGGGAGGCCGAGGCGGGTGGATCGCTCAAGGTCAGGAGTTTGAAAACAGCCTGAGCAAGAGTGAGACCCTATCTCTACTATAAATAGAAAGAAATTAATTGGCCAACTAATATATATAGAAAAAATTAGCCAGGCATGGTGGTGCATGCCTGTAGTCCCAGCTACTCAGGAGGCTGAGGCAGTAGTATCGCTTGAGCCCAGGAGTTTGAGGTTGCTGTGAGCTAGGATGATGCCACGGCACTCACTCTAGCCTGGGCAACAAAGTGAGACTCTGTCTCAAAAAAAAAAAAAAAAAAACCAGGCAGAAACAATATTTGAAGAGATAATGGGCAAGAATTTTGCAGAGCTAATTAAAGACAGCAAGGCACAGATTTAGGAAGTTCCATGAATCCCAAGCAGGATACATAAAAAGAAATCCATACATAAAGAGAAATCTAGACAAATCATAGTAAAATTGCAGAACAGCAACAAAGATAAAAATCTAAAAGCTGCCAGAGAAAAAGACAGCTTATCTTCAAAGGAGTTATAGTTAGACTGAAAACTGATTTTAAGGGAAGCCATTTGATGATGAAATTGTAACTTCTGGCCTGGTGCAGTGGCTCACATCTGTAATCCTAGTACTTTGGGAGGCTGAGGTGGGAAGATTGCTTGATCTGAGGAGTTCGAGACCAGCCTGAGCAAGGGCAAGATCCCGTCTCTACTAAAAATAGAAAACATTAGCCAGGCGTGGTGGCATGCACCTGTAGTCCTAGCTACTCCCAAGGCTGAGGCAGGAAGATTGCTTGAGCTCAGGAGTTTGAGGTTTCAGTGAGCTACAGTGATGACACTGTACTCTAGCCCAGGAACAGAGTGAGACCTTGTTTCAAAAAAAAAAAGAAAAAAGAAGGGAAGCAAAGAAGTTAATTGAGAACATGGGATACAATTACGGGTAAATATAGGGTTAAATGTACATGAACAGTAATTGTATATAAAATATAGTATTAACAGTAACTTATAGGTTTAAACGCATGGTAACAATAACATAATAAAATAATAAAACGTGTGTGAAGTATTCTAAAGATTATATTTTGTCTGGTAAGAGAGAAAAGATATTGTTTAATTTTAGACTTTGATAATTTAGTATGCATGCCATAATTTTTTAGGGTAACCACTAAAAGAATAGGAACTAACTAGTGGATGGAAAATGGGATGATAAAAAAATTATCAGCTGGGCGTGGTGGCTCACGCCTGTAATCCTAGCACTCTGGGAGCCGAGGCGGGTGGATTGCTTTGAGGTCAGGAGTTTGAAACCAGCCTGAGCAGAATGAGACCCGTCTCTACTATAAATACGAAAGAAGTTAATGGCCAACTAATATTACCAGGAGGAACACTTTAGCCCCAGGCATAGTGTTGCATGGCCGGTCTGTCCCACCTACTTGGGAGGCTCTGAGGCACAGCCGATTCCGCTTGCGAGCCACGGCGCCTTTGAGGTTGCTGCTGCAGCTAGGCTTTGTGCCACGCGCCCTCCTCTAGCCTGGGCAACAACGTTGAAGAATCTGTCTCAAAAAAAAACAACAACAACAAAATTATCAACCAGAGCGGCAGAAGAACGGAGCAGCCCCGGAACAAAGCAAACTAGAAACAGGAGAAAAACATGGAAAGTCGACAAAGGAAAATGGTAGAATGAATCCAAATGTATTAGAAATTATATTAAATGTACATGGGCTAAATGAACAGTAAAATGCAAATATAGTCAGACTGGATAAATTTATATATTTGCTGTTTATGAAACATATCTAAAACACAAGAATATGATATATTGAAAATAAAATAGTGGAAAAATATTGGATATACAAATACTAGCCAAAAGGAAACTGGGGTAGCTATATTATCATTAGGCAAAATAAACTTTAAGGAATAAAGCATTATTGGTGATCACTTTACAATAATAAAAGCTTCAATTCACCAAGAAGATATAACAATTAAAGTATGCATATAGTAATATAACTTCAAAATATATAAAGCAAACATTGACAAAACCACAAGGAGACAGTCAAATACACAATCATAGTGAAGATTTTAACACAAATATCTCAGTAACTGATAGAATAAGCAGCTCAAAATGTTAGTAAGACTATAGATGATTTGAACAACATGATTAGCACACTTGACCTAATGGACATATTTAGAAAGCTGTGCCCAACAACTGTAGAATATACACCTGGGACATTTATAAACATCATCCATATGTTGGGCCATAAGGTAAGTTTTAACATATTCCAAAGGGTTGAAATATATAGCATCTTCTGAGACCATAATACAAGTAAATTATAAATCAATAACAAAAACATTACTAGGTGGAATGAATCCAAATGAATTCATATCACCATATATTAGGAAGGAAAGCACATAGTTTAAAGTAACTCATGAGTCAAGGGAAAAAAATTCTAATGTAAATGAGAAGCTTTTTGGTATTTAATGATAAAAATGTACATAGCAAACTTATGGGATTAAGCTAAAGACTCTTTTAAGAAGAAAATATGTATTGCCTTAATTGTTTATGTTAGAAAAGAAGAAATCAGAGTTAAGTATCATGTGAAGAAGCTACCAAAAAACAAAACAAACCCAACGACAAACCCCTCCCTACAAAACAAAAAATAAAAAACAGCAAAATAAATCCAAAGAGAAGGAAAAGGACACAAATTAATACAATAGGGAACAAAAATGTAAGAGAATCAGTCAGGCACAGGAGCTCATTACCTGTAATCCCAGCACTTTGGAAGGCCAAGGCAGGAGGATCCGCTTGAGGCCAGAATATCATGACCAACCTGGGCAACACAGAAAAACCTCATCTCTACAAAAAATTAAAAATAATTAGACAGGCCTGGTGGCACAAGCCTGTAGTCCCAGCTCCTCAGGAGGCTGAGGCAGAAGGATGGCTTGAGCCCAGGAGTTTGAGGCTGTAGTGAGCTATAATAGTGCCACTGCACTATAGCCTACATGACAGAGTGAGATCCTGTCTCAAAAAAAAAAAAAAATCAATAAAGACAGACATTGGATCTTTTAAATGACTAATAAAATTGACAAATCAACAAGACTGATAAAAAGGGGGAGCACATGTCACCAATTTCAAGAATAAAGAGGGGACAGTCCTATAGATGCTACGTGCATTTAAAAGATAGGAGGATGGCCGGGCACGGTGGCTCACACCTGTAATCCTAGCACTCTGGGAGGCCAAGGCGAGTAGATCGCTCAAGGTCAGGAGTTCTAGACCAGCCTGAGCAAGAGCGAGACCCTATCTCTACTAAAAATAGAAACAAATTAATTGGCCAACTAAAAATATATAGAAAAAATTAACTGGGCACATGCCTGTAGTCCTAGCTACTCGGGAGGCTGAGGCAGCAGGATTGCTTGAGCCCAGGAGTTTGAGGTTGCTGTGAGCTAGGCTGATGCATGGCACTCGAGCCCAGGCAACAGAGTGAGACTCTGCCTCAAAAAAAAAAAAAAAAAAAAAGTCTACATTCTATTGTGAAACTAAGTCAAGAAGCCCTGAAATAGGGGTTGATCTATCTCACATAATGAATCTAGAGCTAGGAGGTTGCTGGCGTTAGTTGAGTGGTTCAGTGACCTCTAGGCCAACGTCTCCGTGATACTTTTCACTTTGCCTTTCTGCCTTTTAACCTCATGGTCACTAGATGGCTAAAGCTGATCCTTTCGTGTTCAAAACAGGGAGAAAGTGGTAGGGGAAAGAGCAGGGCCCAGCCCCATCCAACGAGCATACCTGGCTAACTTTTTTCCAGTTTTTTTTTTTTTTTTTTTAAGAGATGGTGTCTCCCTATGGTGCCCAGCCTAGTCTCCAACTTCTGGGCTCAAGCAATCCTCTCCTCACACA